TGGCAACAGAGGGACATGTCCTTCTCTCCCCGGTTCATCTCGTGAAAATAGCCAAAGACAAATATTTTAAGAACTCCCAGTAGCAGGAATTAGAGTGTATCGGCAGCACGGGCACCTGCCAGGAGCTTGTTTTAGAGAAGATGTGACCCAGCTGGTGCCAAGTGTGAAGGTTTGCATCCTCTGCCTTGCAAAAGTTAAAAAACCGACTTGAAATCAAGTATTAAATGGGGACATCTAGGGGAAATACCCGACGGTGCAGCCGTGCTTGACAACGTCTGTTTTTAACAGAGGGCTTAGTGGTAAATGGTTGTCCAGGCAAACCTCAGTGACACTAACACCGCTCACACCAGCGTCTGGATTTTGCCCCGGACACACGTCCCATTAGCAAGCCGAGGGCAGAGGTACAGGAGCGGGTGTGTTTGCACACTCCATCCCGATGCGTAATGCAGGCAAATGCTCAGCATCTTGGCCCAGGAGCATCTGGGCTTGGTGATTTCTCATTAGTTCCCTGATGTATTATATCTTAGAGCTTGGGGGCTTGACTGTGTCACCTCTTGTCATTGCTGTTAAGAAAAAAATGGGTTTATCCTGGTATGATCAACCCTTGCATTTCTATTGGGAATTTCCCAATACCGATGCTTGAAATAATATTTAAAACTCTGATTCATAGAAATTTGTGGCTGTATGAGAATTTCAGCCGCCTTTTTTGAAGAAAGTTTCGTGTTCCCCTACTTCTTCCCTTCTCCACACTGAGTTATGGGAAAACCACACTGAAAATGCAACCCAAGTATATCCCTGAAACGGAACGGAGCTGAAAATAATTGAGCACTTGTTTTCACCTAACTTCATGGGTTTTGGATCTGACCTGATACAATGTGTGAGTTTGGCAGTACTGGACTAAGAACAGGAACAGAGCAACTGCTTTCACATTTTCATACTTCTTAATCTCAATTCTTCCAGTGTTTTAGCAATCACTTTTTTTTTTTAAGTTATCGTTCTTAATAATTGTAGTGTTTTTACTTTATTGCACTAGGGGACCTGGGCATTGTACACAACGACAGAAACATGGCTTGGATGGGACCCCCAGAAATCATCTAGGCCAGGTTCCCGCTTGGAGCAGGAGTGTCACCAGCACTGGACCAGGTCAGACAGCAATCTGTCCAGCTGAGTCTTGAAAAACCTCGCAGGATGAGGTGGACACGACCTCCTGGGGTCACCTGCTCCAGGATGCACCACCATCTGGGGTAGGGTTTTTCTGATGTCCCACTAGACCTTCCACCCTGCTGCCTGTGGTCATTGCCCCTTGTTCTGTCATCTGCCTCCCCGACAAGTGTTTGACTCCATCATCTTTGTGATTGCCCCCACAAGAGCTGTGGGAACGTATTGGGAATATCCGTCCTTATCAGGTGCTGTAAAGATACAGAATCCAAGATAAATCCTGTGCCAAAGGGGTTGCGGTGTAGGTAGATGCCCCATAGACTCTCCGAGGGGAGGCTGATCAGATTTGCAAACTCAAGTTACCCCTTCAAAAGCATTTTAAGGGCTGTGGCATTTTTTATGCAGCGATTGATACCCTCTCAGCAGATTTGCTACCTCTTGGCTCCATAGCCAAAGGGAATCAGCCGGTTGAATTATTCCCACCCACTTCTTTCAACCTAGTCAGCAAACAGGTTAATTACCTATCGATGAATTACTACTTCTTACTGTTTCTCAAGTGATAAATGAGAGAATAAACTCCAGAAATGCAAAAAACTTTGCAAATCTGCCCCAAGCTCCCGGTAGCACCCCTGATCCTATGGACAAATGGTCATGAGCATCACTATTGCGTCAACTGCGACCGCTCGGAGCCAGCACAATCCTCAGCAGCACGCGTTAGCAGAGCTGAGCTCTTGCTCAGCATTACAACCCAGGGAGATGAAACAGCTGACCTGACTGCAAGACAACATACAGCTCGGTGTTTTAAATGTTGGGTTCCAGAGGGTCTGTCAATGAAAGTAAGCCAGTGGAATTTGGTTTGTTTAGTATTATTCCTGGTATAGGTTAGGGGTAAGGAATAAAGAGCACTTTCAATGGTTATTGCTATGCTGGATTGGACTCATTCTGGCTTGGAAGAGGAATAAGTGATAAACACTGAATATAAATATAGCTTCCTAACAGCTAACTTGAACAAGAGATTTGGCATTCAAAAGCAGCTATCTCTGAGCTATAGCTCCCAGTCGTGTTGCACAGGACACTGCCAGGTACTGGAAACTAGAAACGTCAAAGCCCTGGCCAAGAGGAAGAGCAAAGCTCTGCAGCGGCTGCTGCGTAGGACCTCCTCAGCACGGACCAACAGGCTTTGGGGTACCACTTGTCCGAGGCAGAGATTTGAACTACAGTCTAAAATAGATCCTTAAGTCTGTGTTATCTTGCATATTTTAATCAGATTTAATGCTCTTGAGCATTGTAAGAATAATTTCTGTCACTTGATTTTAGTATATATTATCCTTTAATGCTGAATGGAAGGGGAGCCTTTGCCTCCACATCTGAGGGGAATTCTTGAAAATGTAGGAAAAGCATTGAAGTCATGGGATGGAGGTTGCATCTGGTTCTAGGGCAGAATTTTCCTTCTGTGAAGGGTCATTGCCATGGCACTAATTCTGTTTCGCTGATCTTCCCCAGCCAACCGAGATGGAGCTGACATCTGGGTGTTTTCTGCAGCATCTGCGTTTAGATGAAGTATGCTGCCTGTTGTCAGTAAGGACGGCTGTGGCACTGGCAGAGGATTTCCAGCTCCTGGACGTTCATCAAAAGGAATTACCTGAACAGTAAGTACTTCTAAAAATGGGATTGGCATTAATGCTTTAAAACTACAGGTCCTGCGTAATGTTTTGAGAAGAGATACACAGGGTGCTACGTCACTTGGGATTTAAAACCAGAGGTCATAGACATTACAAATATTGCACTTGAGATGTTACAACAAATGCAGCACTCTGTAATACTAATTAACTAGCAGGCTGGTTAATACCTGTGCTTGGCAATACCCCAAAAAGCTTTTGGATACAGCATATATCACCATGTCCTCCTTGCTCTATCATGCCCCAGCTTCTCCGGAAGGTTACATGGCCTGGCTACTCCTGAAATATGTATGGCTCAGGGGACCACGCAGAGCCGCCGAGACGCATTTTCAGCTCACATCAAACGTATTGCTTTCC